GCCCTGCTCTGTGCCTGATAGGGGGGAGCTCCCCAACCCCCTGATCGCCCTGTGGCTCTGTGACAGGGTGCGGCGCCCTAACCTCCCCCATCCAAGGGCCCTGCTCTGTGTGTGACGGGGTAGAGCCATAACCTCCCCATCGACCCTGCCTTGAGTGTGACAGAGGGTGGTGCCCCAATCCCCAAATCGGCCCTTCCCTGAGCGTGTCTGGGGGTGGCATCACAATCTCCCGATCCGCCCTGCTCTGTGCATGACAGGGGGCGGCGCCCTAACTCCCCAATTGGCCCTGCTCTGAGCCCGACCAGGGGCTGCACCTAGGGATTGGGCCTGCCCTCTACCACCCGGGAGCAGGCCTAAGCCAGCAGGGCGTTATCTCCCGAGGGGTCCCAGACTGCGAGAGGGCACAGGCCAGGCTGAGGGACCCCTCCTTCCTCCCGAGTGCACAAATTTTTGTGCACCGGGCCTCTAGTTCAGTCTATAACAGAAGCTTAGAGGAATAATAAAATGGACCTAAGACACACATTTTTACTACCTATAGACCTGATTCTTGGAACTTGAACTCAAGTCAAGTCCTTCTGCCAAAGCTCTACATGTCTAAGGGTAGAAGAGCCCTGAAAGTGGACAAACCTTGGTATATTTAAAGAATTAACTCACTTAAAATAGATTCCATTTCCCTTTGAGAGAGTTACATAAACCACTAGGAAAAAATAACTTGAGCCAAACTGGAACAACCAACCTATTTGTTGTGGAAACAAATATCCCTATGTTTTAATACACTGACTAGCAATAGAAGGCAGTGTGCCTGAAATAACTTTCCTTTTCCAGTGAATATTAAAGTTACCATGAGAAAAGTGTTTGCCACATTTTTGTACACTGCAAGCTGTTGTGATAGAAGAAATCATTTATTTTTTATCTGGATGATTTATTCTTCTCATGATTCAAACAGTGCCATTGCATGATTTTTAACATGTGAAGAGAGTTGTAAGCATATTAAATGAAAGATTTGTGGCATAACTCTTTATTTCTTTCAATCTGAAAACAAAGAAGGGAACACAGCAGGCCCTCCTTATAAACTGAGAGGGCCACAATGGATGGATTTGAGGGGCAGTGTAGTTATAAGGGGTTAAGAGTACATGTTTTAGAGCTGGAAAGTCTGGGTTAAAAACCATCTCTATTATTTACTCTAATGACCCGGAGAAAGTTGTGTGTGTTTTTTTAAATGTTCTGTGCTTCAATTTCGTTATGTTTGAAACTTGAGAACTAATTAGCTTTGGTATTTCTCACAATATTTAAAATGAAATGACATCTTTAAGGCAATCTGCTGAAATGTAGATTGTATTTTTCAAAGGCTTAATGTGATTATAGCCAGGGGCTGATGGTAGTCAGAGAAAAGGTATTCCAATTTCCTAGACCCTTGGAGGTTTGTGCTTAGTTTTAGCTATAGTCTCTGTCACTGAACATATTTGGAAACATGAATTTCAAATTTGCTTCCTCTTTAAACAGTAGTATAACAATTGGCATTGACAACAAATTAGTGGATTCCAGAAGAAAAGATCATTGTATCCCCAGGCCCAAGTCTACATACAATACATATTCAAGTTATTGAATCAATCAAGCAATTTGATACATTTATAAATGTCCACATGGCTTATCAAATGATGTTTTTCTACTATATTGAAAGAAGGAAAAACAGTGGAAGTGTCATTTGATTTTTCCCTTCTTGGAAAAAAAGTGAGATGGTTGAAAATGAAGTTGGGAGCTGAAGGGACAAGTCTCTTATGCTGGCCTTGTGTCTGGAAGGGTGTTGCTGATTGATTCTATTATTTTGAACAGTGTGCCCTACTAAAAGGGGTTTCTAAACTCTGACAACTCAGAGGCCAGCACTGGCAAATGAGCTGATTTTAGTAGTAGACAGAGGGATATTTTTTACAGTAATGGCTATCTATTTGCAGGTACTTAAGCTTACCATATTGATCCGGCCTCTGTTTCCCTTTCAGATAACAGCTCCCAGGCTCTTCAATGGGGGAATGCTGCTGCAACACTGGGGTTAGTCTTAGTGGGACTATCGTTCAAAGTGCTGCTTCCTTTGCTGGCCCAGATGGCAGGCCCATGCTTGCTGTGTTTCAGAACTTCCAAAGAAGTGGTTCCAAGTGTGAGTTCAGTGAGCCCTATGGCTGCATGCCACTTCCTGCTACCTCAGTTCCTGGGCTGTCCCAGTTGGTCTTTCCCAGCACCTGCCTCTTTGAGTCTTCCTTCCATCCTGAGAGCTATCCTGTAACCTTCCAATGTTCTCTTTTTTATTTTTTAAATTCTACATAACTGGAGTAAGTTTTTGCTGATGATATTTAAAAACCCTGTTTCACCTGGTTGTCATGGATATTATTGCTTCTTAAAAATTAGTATTTTTACATAAAACATAAGTACAAGTGATATGAAGAAACCAAATGACTAAAGGATGGGGAAAATCATTACAAATATTGACATTAGCAATGAGCTTCCTGGTTACATTTAGAAATTAAAATAGGTATTTTGAAAAGCCATTTAGAAGAGTATCCAGGATTATATTACTAGGATGATCCTACTGATAAGAGAAAAATAAGAACTTGGAACAAATAATGTATTAATGAATAAATTATTAATAGTTTTCAAGGTCTAGAACAGATATAATGTGAACAAGGATCTGCATTATTTCCTTGGTCAAGATCAGGCCTTTAAATAGAAAAAGAACAACAACAACAACACTTCAAGTGCTAATATCAGATAATCTATTTTTCTTTTTATAAGTGAGGTATTTTACTTATTTTTAACATTATTTTCCCAATTAGTGGAACACCTAACATATAAACCTCCATCGATCATATCAAGAATCTGTGCTGCAAGCCCCCACTAGATAGCTCAGTTGCTGGTTTTAGCACCGCCCTAATACGCCAAGTTGTGGGGTTGATCCCCAGTCAGGGCACATACAAGAATCCCCAATGAATGCATAAATAAGTGAAATAGCAAATTAATGTTTCTCTCCCCCCTCCTCCTCTCTCTCTTTCTCAAAAATCAATTTTTAAAAAAGAATCAGTGCTGCAGGTGTGTGTGTGTGTGTGTGTGTGTGTGTGTGTAAACCAGAACTAATCACCTGAGCCTGGATATCTCTTGTTTGTACATGTACTGTTATTTCAGTCTTATTTCTTCTGGACATTGTTATCAACCTCATGTGGTCCTTTGTGTCCCAACTCCAAGGAACAAGTTATGGCTCCTTTACATGTCCCTCTTCCCTTGAGGATCTCTGAGTTCTGGGTTGGGATGGAAATACCTGGAGATTGAAGACTTCTATCCCACCAATTTTACCTTTTTTATCTGATGCTTTTTTTTTTTATTCCAAAACGATAATTTTGAAATTTGGGGATGAAGGTTGGGCTAAGTAAAGATTTTGACACCTGAAAATGTTTTCAGTTGATTATGTTTCCCCAGAATTCACTCTCAGGGAAATACTGATAAGAAATGCAGGTTGTCTATAATCTCCCAAATAATATACTCGTAGTAAAGAGAGAGCCAGGTAGTGAAGATTTCCCTTTGAAATGACATTACACCAGGCAATCAACTGTTTCCAATATGACCTTTATTGAGCAAGTACTGCTGTGACGTTTAGCATCAATCAACGAAAGGTTGCAAACTGTGCATGTCATCAAGGTTCTCCCATGAAAGAAAGTCCATTTTAAATGCACCAGTGAGGTAAACTTAATTATTCATATATAGCTTTCTTAAGGCTAAGAGAGTTCTGTGTTTCATTTATTTTTGGCTCAGTTTGTTCTTTGCATAATACATCTCAAGACACCCCCCAGTGAGTGCCCCCCTTCCAGCAGTTTAGTAAATTGGCCAATTCCCCAGGTACATACAATATCATGCATTTGAACCCCCCAAAGACTGAGGAGGGAGCATCCTGAGCTTGCATGCAGTTCCCTCGTATTGCACAATGTAAAATACAATGTCTGGAACCCCCATGGGAGAACCCGTTCTATTTTGAAGCTGTCATTAACATGCATTTTGAAATTGTCATATGGCTTTACCTTTTGAATAGACTAAAATGACTAGTCACCCTGGGAGACTTCCTTTACTATGGCATGTGAAGTGACCTTCTCTACCTTTTTAGTAGACACTAATTTCTCCTCAAAGCTCTCCTCATGCTCTTCGACCTTTTGAGTGACAGTGACAGATTTCGTGATATATTTGGTAGCACCATCTCCCCCTTCACTGGTGATTTTTTCTATCGTTTTGGTCACCATCACTTTTTCCTCACTTTTATCACCCCCCTTCTTTTCATCTGCTGGACTTAAGTCTAGGCCATTGGTGACAACACCTTTCTCCTCGTCTCCCCCACTGCCTTTCTCCTTCGTTTCCTGCTCTTCCTCCTCCTTTCCTTCCACCTCCCCATTGATGGCTATGTCTTCCTTGGTGGATTCCTTTGAGCCTTGATCACTGCCTTCCTCCTTGCTCCTCCCCTCCACTTTCTCCTTCTGCTGCCCAGGCTTCTCCTCCTCTTTGGCACCTTTCTCCACGCTCACCTTTACTGATTTGGTGATGGTCACCACCTCCTGCATGACTTCCTCCTTCACCGGGGATGCAGCTTTCTTCTTCTCTACCTCATCTTTCAGCTTCTCCTCCTTTTTCTCTACCTTCTCCTCCTTTTTCTCTACCTTCTCCTCTTTTTTCTCTACCTTCTCCTCCTTTTTCTCTGCCTTCTCCTCCTTAGGAGCTTCCTTTGCTGCTTCTTTCTTTCCTTCCTCCACTTTCCCTTCTTCCCCTTTCGGCTCATCTTTCCCAGCTCCAGCCAACGGTTTTGGCTTCACCTCCTCCACTGGCGATTTTGGCATGGGGGACTTGGCCTTCTCCTGCTTTTCCACCTTGGCTTCTGCCACCAGCTCCACCTTCGTGACTACTTCTTCCCTCTTTTCCTCAGTTTTCTTCTCTTCCTTAGTTTCCACTTCCTCTCCTTCGCCTTCTGCCTCTGTCTCTCCTTCTTCCTGCTCATCTTCTTCTTTTTCACTAGAACCTTCCTTCTCAGACCCCCCTTCTTCAGCTTGGTCTGATTTAGCACCCTCATCTTCTTCCTCCTCTTCTTCCTCCTCCTTGTCTCCTTCCTCCTCTCCTTTAAATTCAGGTGCGGTAGCTTTCACTGGAGACTTTTTAGTTGCTACCACTTCCTCAGCTTCTTGTTCCTCTTCCTTTTCTTCTACCTCTTCCTCCTTTCCTTTCATGGAAACTGCTAATTCCTCTGCAATGGCTGTCAGGGCCTCTTCCATTTCTGACTTCTCATCTTCCACTTTGGTTTCTTCTATGATCTCCTCGACAAATTTGTGTTGGACCTTTAGCTTGGGAGCCTCTACCTTAGTTTTCTGAATCTTACTGGATATTGTGATGGAGGGCTGTCGGTGTGTATACAGTGGTCCAGTGATGCTTCCTGAAAATGTGCTAAATCTGGTCTCTTCACCTTCCAGCAGTTTTCTAAGGTGATAACCAAAGAAGACAAGACATAATTAAAATCACATTCGGCCTTCTGAGCTTCATTGCATAATGGGGAATCCAGTAGATACCTCTGAGTAAGAATAATCACATAAATAAAGGATTCCATCAAGTCTGTGTAATACCTGCTATCATTTCACTGGTATATTTTGTCATATTCAGTGACAGATACTCATGGGCCACTAGCCAATCCCCTGCTGCAGTAACTAGTCACTCCCAAAGGCCTACTAGTCAGACCCAGCCACCAAGTCCCCCGAGCTACATCAGTCCATTTGGTGCAACATGAATATGTTGAAAAGCTCTGTAGTGGGCAAAAAAATCTTAGTGATCTTCCTGAGGATCGGAACTTTCAGGATGTATACTAAATATCTTTCAGCAAACATAATGTTAAGAAATGTATTTGGCATATATCAGAATTCAGGCTATATCTATCTATATCTATAGCTCTATATCTTCATCTATCTATAGCTAAGTACTAATTTGGGTGCATTAAATTATAAATTGATCTGCAGTTTTAATCATGAAGTGTTTTTCAATGTAATTATTCTGCTTTTCTGAAAAGTAAGATAACTCTGTGGGTTCACTTTATTCTTATAAAATTATAATGGCCTTATTGATAGTAGAAACACTGTTGAGTCAATTATTTTCTCCTGTGAACTTAATCAACAGCAAGGCAATATCAGTTAGTAGACCTATAATCTCTTCTCTCTCTTTATCTGGCTGTATATCTACATCTATAGATGTAAATTTATTTATATTATGACATATCTATAAATTTATATATTGAGATCTAAATATATGCAGATATATATCATACACAACCTATATATAGACATATAATCTATATTATGCAGCCTAAGATAAACTATAATATAGCTAAATTATCTATATAGCTATATATATATATGCACACATATATTCTAATATATCAATTTATATCTATTCTCAGCCAGATGATGGCAATAGTAAGCTGTAACAGAGAAACAGAGACATTGAATGTGTTGGTGTTTGTCCTTGACACTGTAAAATTGAGAAGCTGAAACCACTAGATAAATAATAAATACTAAAACTAGTAAATATTAAATACTAACATGTTTTTGCTTCAAACATTCGGAAAACACTTTTCACTAAAATAAAAAGTTTAAGCATAAGCATTGAAGTTAATCTGAGCTCCTCCCAAGCCCTTCCCATAATTCATATCAATTTCAACTAATGCTTACTCTTTTAAAGCTGTATAAAATGTGGAAAATTCACATTTGCAATTCTTTAGAATAATTTCTTTTTAATTAAAAGGCAGACAGGCACTGATTTAAGACGCCTGAAACCTGCTTGCTTTACTGAAGTGGAGAAGGTTCTGTCAAAACAGCCTCCGCAGTGCGGTATTTCGGTCACGTCCGCAGTGAGCACCGTACCTGTACGCAGCGATCTCAATATCCAGAGCCATCTTGACGTTGAGGAGATCCTGGTATTCTCGCAAATGACGGGCCATTTCCCACTTCGTGCCCCGAAGCTCATTTTCCAACTGCTGGATGGTGTCCTGAAACAGACACAGTCTCCCCATGACTCACCCTTCCAAAGGCAATTTCTTTCGCAAACCACTTGCTACCCCCTCTCTCCCCCTCCCTCCTGCGCTCCTCTGACTCCCTCCAGCTCCGCAATCTTCTCGGATATTGCTCCCAGCCCCCTCCCACCATTAACAAAATTTAAGGATTCTCAAATACACAGACAAATAGGATTAATAAGACATTTCTTGAGCATATCATTCACTGAACCCAGTGGATCTAGAATACATTCGGCTGGGAGTAAACATGCATTGGGAAACCCCACCCCTGACCTGGCCCTTCCCCTCTGAGCCATTTGGGCTGAAGCTAACTTTCCTATCATGCAGGAAAAGCAGAGAATTCATGCGTTTCTGCAGAAGTTATCTGAAAGTTGCTGCTTTGTCAACCACCCGAATGCATTCCTCCTATTTTAAATGTGCAAGCGTGCAAAAACAAGAAATGCCGAGGACAAGAAGCACGTTTTGAAAAGAGGTCAGTGCTCTCAGAAGCTGGGGGTGGTGGGCGGGGTGGAGTGTGCAAGTGGTGGGTAGGGGCGCGGACGCTTTGCGCCTCCAACTTGGGTGCGCGAGCGCTGG